GCCGACAAGAGCTTCTGTTACGTACTGTACTAACCTGTTGAAAAAATTTAGATCTCTATTTGAAAAACTATTGTGCCAATCAAGAGTACTTGCAAATTCGTTTACTAATTACTTGCTAATATTAGCATTGTCATAAAAGCTACGTTTTACTGTTGGCTTTGCGGAAATGGCAACTGGATGGCGACAATAAATTAATTCATGATCCCTTGCACAAAGGTCACGCTTGAAATCCAGAGATGGCGGGAAGGTGCGCCATTATTAAAAATTAAATGTAATACAACATCGTTTCTGGTCGAAGGGTAAACTAATTGAGACAAGTTTGAAAAGTGGATGGTGTCTAGAAGCTTCTGTAATGTAGGGGAGGAAGTGTATATGTGCCAGTCAATTTCTGACAAATTACAATCTCCTACAATTACCTTGACATCGAATGAAGTTTCTGCAATTTTTTCAAAGAGTTCACAGAGTTGGCTTCCATTTACGGGGTAACAAGGAGGACTATAAACACATCCGACCAAAGCTTTCCTATTTTTCGGAAGGATTACCGAAGTGAAACATACATTTCCAGAGAAGAAAGAAATGTTCAGGTCATAAGGCGCGAATGTGGAATTGAGGCTCTGATGTAAAGAAGGCAACCACAGCCGCGTCTTTCAATACGATCCTGGCGGTATAAACTGAGGCTATCTATATTGAGACACCTGCCTGAACTGCCAGCATCTCTAATGCTGCTGGACGTCGATGATGGTGTAGCACAGCCTTCCCACTTGCCCCGCAGCTCCAGTGCCATTTTACACAATGAATACGTCTTGTCGACTAAAGCGCCGGATACTGTGGTACTGATTGGCGACGGGCCGTGTACTGACATGTGTTTCGGCTGACAGAATTGCTTATCGCCCTTTTTGTATTGCAGACACTTATTTACCACGTCTTTTTAATCTTCCACTTCGCTCATTTTTAAAGTATCCGTTTTAGAAAACCTTCCTTCAATGGCTACCCTTCCGGCCGTTGTCTGTAAATATGTTGCCTTCCAAACTGACGACTATTTTTACCTAATCCCCCTTTTACACACATTTACTGAACAGTGATTTTTTTGCCATGTCCCTTTTCCAAACTCTGACTGGTGAAATGTAAACGCAAGCTTACGTAACGGCCCAGATGTACCCCGTTATTGAGTTCATCAACGACAGGCCGGTCGCAGCCGTAGTCAAGGCGTGATTCTATGATAAGAACTTGCCTTGCTTAATTTCCGAGGAAATTAATGCGCGAACTTGGAGTAACTCTTTCGAAACAGGCCTTTTCAGGCACGGTCCGAAATTTGATATGAATATTTGAGCTGAAATCCATCAGCTACTGCGGAATAACCGCTTAATATTCACAAACCGCCAACAGGCAGCCAGTAGTATAGCATTGT